TAAAATGTTTCGGGTCCAATTACATGCCAGTTAAATATTTTAGGATTGTTCACAGGCTGTACCCGACATACGAGCATTGTTTAAGGCATGAAACGAATAATCCGTGTCTCGTTTTGCAATCATTATTTGTATATTTTTGTTCTTTTCCAGAACATTTTAGTAGGGTTCATGTTTTTTTTTGTAAATTTATTGAACAAAATTAGTTACATATTCACTTTTTAAAAGAAAAGTCCAAGATGATTATTATCTTGAAAACATCTCATTTAAATTATTGTATATCTAACTTAAAGTGAAGCATAAAATGGGCCTAAAGATGTCTGCTTTCTGCCAGTGCCACATTAATAATTAATAAAATAGTCGCCACTCTAAAGTCTTTAATCAAAGGGTAGCTTACGGTGGCTTTACTTATTTTCTTTTATGGTATATTTTTTTAAATATACACTTTATACAAGGCCCTTTAAGTTTTCGTAGGCACCTCTACAAGAAATAATTCCTTAACCTCATTGTTCAACTGCTTCAATAACAGGGGAATTTCCTAGTTTTCTCCCTCTGTTTCCCTATTAAAAATCATTTCTTACAATTATCTACCAACTCTTTTTTTGGGAAAGTTGTGACACTGTATAAACATTTGTATAAATCAACATTTCTTGAAATAATCTCCCTCTGCCATCAGAAACCACATTGAGATCTCAGGTGGGGAGAAAACTTGAGCTGTAACCTTAAAAACCCTGTCCTGATCTCAACAGGCAAAAATTCAGTAGTCTGTTACAGAATAAAACATGTTCTCTGCCTTACGTAATGCCCTGATCACATTCACATTCATTCGTGCCTGAACAGGAGCTAGGCCAGTATATTTTCTTTGGACTCAATCTTATAACATCATAGACCAAATCTTGTCTCACTATGAGATTGTCTCAAAGAGCTCAGATGGTTATAAAAATCTGTCAGACAAAATAACGTTGCTCAGTAAACCATCTTTTTAAAGCTGTTGCAGTTATCTGTCTTCATGGTCCAATAAACAGATGATGGAATATTTTTTCTATGTCAAAGTAAAATTGAATAGTACCACTGAATAGCAACACATTAAATTACATTTAGATTCATTAAAATAAATGAACAGGTATCAAATAGAAAAAGTAAACAGAGGCAAACAAGTATATACTTAAAGTGAAAATAATGTGAAAATAATCTAACATAGTCATTCTATTTCTTTATGATGACATTTATTCATTTCTCTGTTCATTGATGACTTGATCTTTCACTACTCCTTGCGCACCTTCCTTAAAACTTCTGTACTATAAAGCATACAGACCATTTCTTACTCTCTCTCTTGTAAATGTTTTTTGTATATTTGAGTAAAGGTTTTAGCTCATGTCTTATAACGTCAATGTTGTAAAGTCTAGTTTTGCATTTCACTGCAAATCGTGTTACAAAGAATATGAACTAAAGTATTTTGACTTTAACTTGAATCTCTGGTTATTTTTGACACATTTGTATTTTTTCATAACATACTCAATGTGATGTAATGATCAACAAGGGAAGACACTCCTGACAGCAAAACGCCATAATGTTTGCAGTCTAAACAAAAAGGAGGGATTAAATAAATATTGCTTGTCATTTGTATTCATATTTTGATGAATGAACAAATTGTTACCCTGGAAATGAACTAAGATAAATGTAATGAAAACATTTATCTTGTGGTTGATTCGCATGGAATCATGTTTTTTGCAATTACTGCAAAAATTGATCTCAAAGGTCCTATAAGTAGAACATTTTTAAATCTTATGCTTCTTCTTCTTCGTTTTATTCTTGTTCTTCTTCGTCTACTTCACCTTTTTTCCCATTTTTATATTGCTAGAATTAAAGATATATATACTAAAATTACTATGAAACCATGATTAAGTTATTTAAAAATATATTAATGTATAGTTTCCTGAATAAACTATTTACAGTATGCATTCACCTGTACTCATCTTTTTTCCGCCGGTTGACATGTGACGTCATCTTCCGTCGACTGTTTACATGCGACATCATGGCTCTCTTTCCAGCTTTTTCAGAAGTAGCAGGCAAAAAAGTTGAAGATTCGTCAAAAGGTGATCACTTACTCATACGGCCCCTGCTCCAACTATGACTTTGTTCTCGTTAACAAAACATTTTTGTCACCTCGAGAAAGCAAAGCCGTCGCTAGCTGACGAGTTGATTTTAGCTTCTTCAACGTCAGGTTGTCGTTCAGCCTGAACGCGATAGCTAACTTTTAACATCTAAATAATAGTTTAAAACTACATTTACGTTTTTGGGTTATGACAACAGATATAAAACATGCTGGGTTTTTTTCATATTCAGTATTAGTCCCTTAATGTTTTTATTAAAGCCGTTTTAGTCTCTACATGTTGATAGCTGATTGCTTTTCCTATAATACAGGTTGTATGTTTCAAACATCAAAGAAAACATGCGATGTATGTCTTTTATTGAAAACTATAAGCAAAGTCAAAGTTAATTAACTCTTATCTCCTCAATATCCATTGTAACATTTCACAACTAGAAATATACATTAGACAAAGAACGGCCACATTCTTCTTTGTTAGTTTGATAACTACTGATGAAATACTGCCCGTTCTCATTTCAGAATTAGATTGGTTGAACAACAAGAGTTTCCAGACCGGGGAAGCCCTCTCTCTTCACAGTCGATTTTTAGAGAAAACTGAGGAGAAGCTAAACCAGAGGGAAGAGAGGTAAAACCATGTTTAAGGATATAAAAAAATGTATGATATATGTATGATTATATCATCATGCTTTGAAAACTTGTTTGCTAAATTCTTGAGTTTTTTATTCTGGATTCGCTGTTTAAATCCCAAAATTGATTAATTAACCTAATTATTCGTAGTGTTGGTTTGGATGTCAGTTCCAATGAAGGAGAAGAGAAGGGAGAAGATGAGGTCCCACCAAGAAAGAAGAAAAAGAAAAGTGAAAAGAAGAGGAAGAAGAAGAAAAAGAACAAAAA